TCTATCTATCTATCTATCTATCTATCTATCTATCTATCTATCTATCTATCATCTCGCCCTCCTTCCCTCCCTACATTACCTACCTACCTACCTACATATCTAACTATACTCTATCTCTTTATCTATCTCTATATCTATACCTATCTACCTATCCATCCACCCACCCGCCCATCCATCTATATAAATATTAAATATAAATATAAACATATGTTTATACCTGTATTTATAAATCTCTATGTCTGTCTGTCTGTCTATTTCTCCCGCAGCGGCCCCTTTAAAAAGTAGAGCCAAGGCCTCCTTAGGCCCGACTCGGATGCGTCTCCATAGTAACGGCCGCTCGGACTCAACGCGCCTGCTCCGTCCCCCCGTCTCGCGCGCTCAGCCTGCCGGGAGCGGTAGTTTCGAGTCCCTCCACCACCACCCGCGGGAGCCACTCGTGTGTCTTTCGGGAGAACTGGGGCGCTGCCCTTTTTTCCTTTCGCTCGGCGCCAGCGGTTTTTGCGACCGGGCTGCCGTAAAGCGCGTCCCGCCGCCCTCCCTCCCCCCCCCCGATTCCCCAATCCGCGCGGTTTCCTTTCCGGCGAGGCGGGCAGACGAGAAGGAAGGGCCGGAGAGGCCTTGCGTGGAAGCGCGCGAGGAGGGACGACGCGGGAGGACCCCCCGCCCCCACCCGCCCCAGCCCCCTCTCGCTCCGCCCGGCTTCGCGGGGAGCGGCGCCCCGTCGCCCCAGGATGTTCAAGAAGTGAGTGGGCGCGGGGGGGGGGGAGAGGGCCCCCGGATGGGGGAGGGGGGTGGACTCAGCCTTGGGGGGGGAGGGGAGGAGGGACTACAACTCCCATCATCCAGGCCCGGGAGGAGACGGGTAGGCCTTAGTGGTGGCGGTGACTTGTTGCTAATAAGGATCTCCTGGGGGATGAGGGGAGGGGTGGGGTGGGGGTGGGGTCCAGAGATGCCAGATCCAGCCGAAAATCTCTGCCTGATGGTGAGAACCGACGTAAATCTCGGGGCGGGAAGGGTCCTTGGAGGTCGTCTAGTCCAGCCCCCCTGCCCCAGAACAGTCCACCCACCCACCTCCCTCCACTACCACTCAATGTCATTCCCAAGTCTAGGATATATACTGAGAATACGGTATCAGTGCAGTCAGAATGGAAGTGGGATGGCAGGGCTGGGAGGGACCTTGGAGGTCTTCTAGTCGAGCCCCCCCCGTCCCATCAACCCCACTAAATTTCTCCCTATCTCTCAGATTCATATTCAATCATGCAGTTGGAAATAGGATCAACAGGGCTGGAAGGGATCTTGGAGGTCCCCTAGTCCAACCCCCTGCCCGCAAACGCTCCCCTCCCTCTACTACCACTAAATTTCACTCTTAACTCTCCAAAACGCTCCCCCTTCCCTCCACCACCACTAAATGTTCATCCCAACTCAGATCCATACTAAAATACAGTATCAGTGCAACCAGGATAGAAATAGGATCCTAGGACTGGAAGGGACCTTGGAGGTCTTCTAGTCCAGCCCCCTTGCCCAAGGTACCTCTACTCTCAAATCAAATTTCACCCTAACTCTCAGATTCGTACTGAGATACAATATCAGCGCAATCAGAATAGAGGTAGGATCGTAGGGCTGGAAGAGACCTTGGAGGTCATCTAGTCCATCCCCCTTGCCCAAGGCAGGAGTCCTTATACCATCCAGGACAAATGGTGGTTCAATGCCTTCTTAAAAACCTCCAGTGTTGGAGCACCCACAACTTCAGGATGTGAGCTGTTTCACCTGATTTATTGTTCTCACTGTCAAGGAAATTAATTCTTCCTTAGTTCCAGGTTGGGTCTCTCTTTGAAAAAAACTTCCACCCGTTGCTTCTTGTCCTGCTTGCAAGATGCTTTGGAGAACAATAAAGGGCTGGGACAGCCATTCCAAGTATTGATATATTAATATATTAAATATTTACATTACCTGACCCCCTGGCTGGTGCAGGCTGGTTGAAGGGGCGGGATGGGAATCCCATATCCATACAGGAAATAAAGTTTTTATCCCTTCCGTTGTCAGAACTGATCATTTCCCCCTCTTCTAGGGAGTTCACATAGTGGTACTAATCATGGCGAGATCCAGCATACCTTATTTTAATATGTTTATATATTTGTAAAAGTGATACGCTACCGATCTTGTGTAGAGGGGACTCTAGGTGATTACAATCAATTAAAAAACAAGATTACAATATTTAAAATGATGCAAATATTATTGTAAACATTAATAATGCACATTAATATTAATAAATACAGTCTTTGAGAAGGAATCCCGAACAGGACCTGAAGTAAAATGTGAGAAAAATAGAAATTCGCCAGATGTTTTTGGGGCTTTTTTTTTTTAATGCTTTCAAATCCATGTTGCTTCCTGATCTGGATTAGTCACTGCAGTTTTGTTGACAAAGAAATATATGCATAACCACCTTGTCAGTGGATGAAGAAGTGGACCAAAGGTTGTGTCTAATATTATTTTATTCGTTGGTCAGATTTGATGAAAAGGAGAATGTATCAAACTGTATCCAGTTGAAAACGTCGGTTATTAAAGGCATTAAAAACCAACTGATAGATCAGTTCCCGGGTATTGAGCCATGGCTAAATCAAATTATGCCAAAGAAAGATCCTGTTAAGATAGTACGATGGTAAGTTCCTCTGCTTCCTCAAATTGCTTTTCTGTATTGTTACTTCTTAGATGTGAGAAATAGATTGCTAGATTGAAATTGTACTGGTCAAAATGAAAAACAGATGCTGGAATATTTACATGATATTTTTTGAATTGGAGGCTACCAGGATATTCGTGTTTAATGGAAACATTAACCTTGGAGGGTTATTTTGTTCCTTATTTTATTTATTAATTTTTTTATTCTGCCCGCTTCCTTTATAAGGCGACTATGGGTAGCTTACAGATTATCCAGTGCCCCATTTGAAATATGTAAAGTTTTCTCTTTTCATGATTATTTCTAAATGGTTATTAGAAACACTTTCTTAAAAAAAATAATGTGTGTTAATTTTGTACATTTCAGTCATGAACATATAGAAATTCTCACAGTAAATGGTGAACTGCTGTTCTTCAGGCAAAGGGAGGGGCCCTTTTATCCCACACTGAGGTTACTACATAAATGTAAGTATTTTGGCGGAAAAAGGGTTATTGGACTGGAGAGAAATCAAAGGATTGGCAACTTTTGAGACATAAGCATACTTGTTTTAAATTTGTTTGCTGAAATTAACAGGCGTTGAGTAGAAAAATAGAACTGGACAGTTTGTGTAATACAGAACGTGCATAATATGTTTGCATGTTCTCTGCAGTATTTTCATTCGTTCTCTCTCTGTAGTTTACTTCTTTCCATTGTGCAATCTGACATTTCCCCTATTTCAACCCGAATTGCCTGATTGTTTATGCTCTTCTCCTTATGACCTTTTTCTGTTATTTTCTGTTCATTCTGTTCTGAATTGGCATGCTTTCTCTTTTCTTTCCTTCCCTCTGTATTTTATTAACCTTTCCCCAGTTTTCCTCCCTCTCAAATGCAATGGTATGTGTGTGTACGTATGTATATATGTATGTATGTACAAAACTTTCTGATTTAGCAGGATTCACCCAGAGACGTCTTGTTTGTGTGCTGCAGGTCTATTCTTCCTGTTTGCTTTTATTTGACTTTTATTCTGTCGCAAGCAGCTCATTCCTTGCATTTGGCACACACACAGGCTATCTATCTCTATCTCATCTGTATCTATCTACCTATCTCATCTACGTACCTACCTATCTTAATCTATCTCATCTATCTCTACCCTGTTTCCCTGAAAATACGACCTACCCTGAAAGTAAGTCCTAGTTTGATTTTTACAAGTGTGCCCAATATAAGCCCTAACCCCCATATAAGCTCTAATTAAGATCCCGCCCTCTCCAGAGTTCATGGGTAAAAATTAAGTTAGGGTGGGGATGAGGGTGGATAGGTAAAGCTGCCCTACTACTTCAAACAGTTGTAGCCAGGCCTGGCACACCCTGACGCCTGCCTTGCCGGCCCATTTCTTCTGTAGCCGGCAAGGCTTTCCTGAAGGCCTCTTTAGCTGATAACAAAGTTCCTGATTGATCCAGAGCTTTGTTATTGGCTGCAGAAGCCTTCAGGAAAGCCGTGCCGGCTGCAGAAGTAGTTCCTGAAAGCCTCTGACTGCGAAAAGGAGGCCAGAGGTGACGTGCGCAAGTGAGGTTAGTCAGTGGATGACATCCCCCGAAAATAAGACCTGGTGCCTTTTTTGGTGGAAAAAAAATGACAGGGTCTTATTTTCAGGAAAACATGGTAATCGCCTCTATCTATCTATCTATCTATCTATCTATCTATCTATCTATCTACCTACCTACCTACCTACCTACCTACCTACCTACCATCTCTATCATCTACCTACCTATCTATCATATCTATCATATCTATCATATCTATCATATCTATCTATCATCTATCTATCTATCTATCTATCTATCTATCTATCTATCTATCTATC